AAGAGGGAGGGGTGGAAGAGGATCTGCTCTAGACCACCTACGCCCAGAGGGCTGGTGGGATTTAGACGCACGAGTAGTGGTCCGATACTGCAGAATCCACACCACAGCTGGGTGGGGGGGGGCTCAGGGGATCTGCGCAGCAAAGAAGGGCTCGGTGGCAAAGTTCGGGGGGGAGAGGCTCAAGGGGGGGAATGTATCGACCCCCCGCGGCCCCCTTCAACGCCCACGGGGGCCCACTCCGCCCCGGACCTTGCGGATTCGCCATCGTGGGCCTGTCGCCAATCTATCGGCAATGCATCGTCGATTCCAGCTCGATGTTTACACCCCTGAGCTGGAGGAGGAGGAGGAGGAGGAGGAGGAGGAGGAGGAGGAGGAGGAGGAGGAGGAGGAGGGCGGGGGCGAGAGTGGAGGGAGGCCAGACCAGAGGGGGGGGGAGTGCGAGGGGAGGGGTGGCAATGAAGCGGCGGAGCGGTGGTAGCCAAGCGGAGGAGGAGCACTGTGACTCGAGATGCTCGGAGAGATCCAGCCGAGCGCTCGCGCCCAGCACTCGTGGCATCAGTTCTTGAGACCACGGCCCCACAGACCCACAGATGCTGCCGCGCTGGAGGTGCCTCCCTGGCAAGGGCCGGCCAGCGTCCTCCAAGGGAATCGCGGGATCCACCCACGCAGCTTTCGATAAGTGGCGGGTTACGAACATTTTAGTCTCAACCGCCCCTTATCCCGAGCGCGGGGGAAGCGCGGGATCCCGTCACACAACTTTCGAGAAGCTGCGTGTTCGGAGTGTCCCTGTCACAGCCGAGATTAGCGGAGTACTGCATAATCAAGTCCAACCATAGCAACATGCTACGACGCATATGTGACTTTTGGCGAGCACCTGACGAGTCATGGCACCATTGGGTCAATCGCACGAAGCAGTAGTCGGGCTGCTGGCCAAGAGTGGTGGCAGACGGGATGGGGTACAGGCGCTGACGCGGCAGGAGTGCCTCTGGGCAGCATGTGGCCAGGATGCCAGCCACGTCGTGAATCCGCTGCATGACGTTCTGGAGAGAGTGATTGGACAGGCCATGCGGAAAGAGAGCAGCCGGGAAATTCGGCCGTCCCGGCGGAACCGAAGGAAGTTGGAGGGCACGTTGCGACATTGCGCGACGCAGGCAGGACCACAGCAGTCAAGCATTGGCGAGGCGCCCTGGTTTGCCTGTAGGCCCACCAAAGATTGCATTCAGAGTCTCGTGTTGTTTGGCACGGGATGTTCTTAGAACATTTCTGGCTGAAACCGTTACATTATAATATACCAGCGTTATGTCGCAAGGGTATTGTTGTTGTTGTTATTGCTGTTGCTGTTGCTGTTGCTGTTGTTGTTGTTGTTGCTGCTGCTGTTGTTGTTGTTGCTGTTGTTGTTGTTGTTAGAACCGTCTTAGTTCTGAGCACATGTCGGGGTATTCAGATAGGAAGGTTGGGCGGGTCCGTCCCTGCTCAAAGGAGGGATTCGCGCCCTGGGAGCCTTATCGAGCTGGCTTCGCACACACACACACACACACACACACACACACACACACACACACACACACACACACACACAGCTTTCGCGATTCGTCGAGGGGCGTGTGCGCGTTGCTTTCGAGGCGCCCTGTCACCCGCGGGGCCTCTTCGGAACCAGGCTGTTTGACCGAACCTGTCCACCTCCACCCTCAGCGCGGGGGAAACGCGGGAATCCGTCCACGCCACGTCCGAGAAGCAACGGGCTGGGAGCTTCTCTGTCAGAGCTCCTTCGTCATTCCCAGCATTTCCAGCCATATTCCTGCGGCGGCAGCAAGATGCGGGGAGACGATTTGCCTCGGACGCACGGCTGATGCGGACCACCAGCGGTTTCAAGCATGGTCTGAGGTCGATACATTAAGATGCGCGTGCTTGTTCATCTGGCGCGACGTTGCGAAGCGAGTTTGGGTGTGTACGTTCTCTGTGATTTCCGCGCCCCCTTCTCCCCATCATCCGCCAATCTATCATCCTTCTCCCGCCTCCATCATCCCTCCTCCTCCTCTTCCTCCTCCTCGTCCCATCTGCCTGCTGCCCATCCATCCCCTGACCTTGGAGATAACCCCCTGGCTTGCAAGCGGCTACACGTGTGGAGGATGTCATGCAGAAGATGAAACTCGCATGCCGCCGCGCACCTTCGCCTGTAAAGCTTGCAACAGCTCCAACGATAGAGAGCGAGTCCGTTTCGAAACGGATCTCTAGTTTCAGCGCCTCGTACATTCATCTTACATGCGTGTGGCAGTTACAAAGGTGGAGCGCGATTGGTTTCCCAAGTTGGGTTCTCGGTTTAGCGCCGCGCGATGCTGTTACTAGGTTACCAGAGGGGGGCGTGTAGGTTCACCATGTTGTTCGGGCTTGAGGCTTCCATCCTTTTGGTGGAGCAGCTGCACGGATAATAACCGTTACCGTTGTTCAAATGGTTGGACTTCGCGTTGATTGTTGTGAAATTGTTTCAGCTCCCGTACAATTGGCTAGGATAATGCAAGGCAGTTATTGTTCTAAGCGGTGATCAGGCGTGAATGGCGGGCCCCTAGTGCGGTTGTTATCCAGTGGAGAGTTTCTTGCAGCGATCAGACTCGGAACGTTGGTAGAGACTTGCGAATGAGCGGATTCTGGGTTGGAGGTGTATTCCAGCGTCATTGTTTCGTCCTGGGTGTTTTCTCTCGTCATCCTCATCGTTCGCATCCCCGTGTTCCCTTTTCCCTGGGATTCAACCCGATTCCCAGGGCGCCCGACGCAGACGCCACAGCCTTGCCAAGAGACAGGGCTCGAAGGAGGGGACACAGAGGGACAGGAGAGGATGGGGGAAGGGGAAGGAGACGAGGCGGCAATGGATGAGGAGGAGAGGGAAAGGGGAGGAGGCGGGGGAGAAGGAGGGAGAGGGGGAGGAGGAGGAGGAGGTGAGGAGAGGAGGAGGAGGAGGAGGAGGAGGAGGAGGAGGAGGAGAGAGGAGGAGGAGGAGGAGGAGAGGAGAGAGGAGGAGGAGGAGGAGGGGAGGAGAGAGAGGAGGAGGAGGAGAGAGGGAGTGGAGGAGGAGGAGAGGAGGGGAGGAGGAGGAGAGGGAGGAGGAGGCAGGAGGAGGAGGAGGAGGAAAGGGAGGAGGAGGGGAGGAGGAGGAGGAGGTTGAGGAGGAGGAGGAGGAGGAAGAGGAGGAGGAGGAGGAGGAAGAGAAGCCAAGGGGAGAAGGATGCTCTGGTAGGGAGTAAGGGGAAAGCGAGGAGAAGGGGAGGACGTACAGTAGCAGGGGCAAGAAGGATGAAAGGGGGAGTGAAGGACGAGGAGGAGGAGAAGGGGGAGAAGGTGGGCCAGGGAGTGCAGGGCACCATTCGGCATCAGGGCGCAGCGGGCCGTCTTCCGAGGCGCGGACACTCACCCCATTCCCGCTCCTACTCCCTCCTCGTCCTCCTCCTCCCCCTCCTCGCCCTTTTGCCCCCCTCCTCCTGCTCTGCCTCCTCTTCCTCCTCGCTCTGCTCCCACCCTCGCACTGGCCCTCAGCGATCGATACATCCCGCTTCTGGCCTCGTGCTCTGTCACCCAGGTGGGGCTGGGCCTGTTCCCCCCCCCCCCCCCTCGCGGCCCGGCGGGGCGGCCTTCTCCTTGGCCCTCTTCCTGCAGGCGATAAGAAGCGGCCAACAGCAGCCCTGCGTCCCCTCCTCCTCCTCCTCCTCCTCCTCCCCCTCCTCCCCGCCCTCCTCCTCCTCCTCTCCTCCTCCTCCTCCTCCTCCTCCTCCCTCCTCCTCCTCCTCCTCCTCCTCTCCTCCCTCCTCCTCCCTCCTCCTCCTCCTCCTCCTCCTCCTCCTCCTCCTCATCCTCCTTGTCCTCCTCCTCCTCCTCCTCCTCCTCTCCTCCTCCTCCTCCTCCTCCTCCTCCTCCTCCTCCTCCTCCTCCTCCTCCTCCCTCCTCTCCTCCTCCTCCTCCTCCCTCCTCCTCCTCCTCCTCCTCCTCCTCCTCACGGACGGGCCTGGAAGGAGGGAGTCTGAAGGGGCAGGCGGGCCTGGAAACACGGAACTTGCGCGGGCAGGCCCCTGCTCTCCTCACGGACGCGCCCCCGTCCCTCTCTGGATCCGGCCCGTGCCCGCCGGTCCGCGCCCTCGCACCGAGACCGCCAGCTCACGGCCACCCCCCCTCGCCCCCCTGTGCCCCAAGCGGCCCGCCGTCGGGCGACGGCGCCTTCCCTGGACGCCCCCCCCCCCCCCCCCCCCACGACGGCCCCCCCCCCCCCCACGAGACTGCCATCTCCCGGCCGCCCGGCGCCTTCGGAGATCACGTCGGCGGCCTCTCCGGGCCGTCTCGGGCGTCGTTTGGGCCGTCTTGGAGCCGAATGGAAAGGCTCTTGGGGTCATCTTGGGGCCATCCTTTGGGGCCGTCTTGGGCCAGTCTTGGAGGCCCTGCTTCCGCGTCGAGGAGCGAGCCCGACTCCCTCCAGCGGCCAGAAGCCCGCGTCCTGGGCGGCCCCTCGCGCGCCCACAGATGGGCAGGATGCCACCAATGAGCAGCAGCGGGCGCAGCGGCGGCGGCGGCGGGATCGGCGGGGCCGGCGGGGGCCGCACGCTTCCGTTCGATGGCCCCTCTTCTCCAGGGCCCATTCGGATCCGATCGACCCGATCCGATGTCGATTGCGGCCCGATGGATCCGATTCGATGTGGATTCCAGCCGGCCCGATCCGATTCGATTCGCCGACGATCCGATACGGCCCGATGCTCGCGTGGGCCTTACTGTGCATCCTGGCGCAGCCGACCCGACTCGATCTAGACTCTGTGCCGAGTCGGCCCGATTCGGCGTACATTCTCGGACGGGGCTAGGACGAGGATCATTCCGTTCCCGAGCTTTCCAGAACGCTCTCAGAGTTTTCCCCGATGCTCTGAGAAGGCCGCGGCGCCCGAGACATCCTCCAGAGCCGCCGGATCTCAGAGATTCTCGCATCCTCCTCGTCCGATGTTACCCTCGTCCTGGCCTCGCCTGACTTTCCGGTCCGATCCGATCTTCCGACTCGATGCCGAATGATCCTGTCCCTTCGCGGCCAGGCGTTCCAGGCCGCGCGGGCGTTGAGCGAGCAGTCGCGCTTCCGGGAGGCCGGCGCGTTTGGGGAGGGGGGGCAGTGAAGTGTTTGTCGGGCGGAGGTTCGGGCAGGGGCGCACACACACACACACACACACACACACACATGCACACACACACACACGCACACGCATACGCACACACACACACACTTACATGTTTGGTGGTAGCGGCCTCGCGCTCGGCGACGAGGCGGAGTGAGTCGAAGCGCTAAGCGCGCGGACGCGCCCGGGCCCTCGAGAATCACTCAGGATCCAACGCGCCTACCGCCATACAGCACCTCCGGGCATGATTGGCGAGGAGGTGGCACGCCAGCCACACACACACACACACACACACGTAGACGCTGCTGACCCTCCTTGTAAGGCGAACATACGTTGAGCAAGACTGCCCCGGACGAATACAGGTACTCGGCGCGTGTCTTTCCAAATGTGCCAGCGCACCTAGTACAGCACATCGTCCCTCTACCCCCTCGGGTCATCCTTCGTTCCGTCTTGCTCTCCCTCGTCCCCGCCTGATTCTGTACGTCGCTCACACCTCCCTCCTCCTATCCTCCTCCTCCTCCTCCTCCTCCTCCTCCTCCTCCTCCTCCTCCTCCTCCTCCTCCTCCTCCTCCTCCTCCTCCTTCGCCGCCCCCTCGTCCCCTGGCTCCCCGCGGGGAGCTCTGGCTCGCGGCGCCCACCGGCTCGACGGCCGGAGGCGCGCACAGCGCTGGAGGAGGAGGAGGAGGAGGAGGAGGAGGAGGAGGAGGAGGAGGAGGAGGAGGAGGAGGAGGAGGAGGAGGAGAGGGAGGGGGAGGGGGAGGGAGGAGGAGGAGGAGGAGGAGGAGGAGGAGGAGGAGCCACGCGCGTTGCTGCGAGTGAGTTCCAGCCCGCTCGTCTGGCGGCGGAGCGCTCTCGCCCTGACGTGCCCCCCCCTCTCTCCTCTCGAGAGTGTTTTTCTCCAATCCGTGCTTGCACTGAAGGGGTCCTAGCGGAAGTTGACAGAGTTGGGGGAAGTTTCCCGCCGATGTTGGTAGCAGGCTGGGTTCCCGAGTTCCGGGTGATTGCCGATTTCGGTGGGTTTTGGGTTCCCGCGCTCCTCCCAGGTTCCCGGTCGATCTCTTCAGCGAAAACCATCCACTGATTGGGGTTTCCCTTTGGTGTAATTGTTAACCCTCTGGGCCATAACGCGTGTTATGCCATCTACTACCCTCCCCCCCTGTCTCCCCCTCCCCATAACGCAACGCTCCCCCGCTCAGTGCGTCCCGGTACTGCCGCAGTGCGTTCGGCGCCAGTCTTGGGCGCGGGCGCTACGTTATGCCCCCTCTGGTCCTCCCCCCTCCCCCCGCATGACGCCCGACATGACCGCGAACGAAACAAATTATATAGCTCTTCTGGGGGAGAAGATTCGCACGGGCACACATAGAGGTAGGGCTCCATGGAAATAGTTGAGAATACGGGAAGTGATGGGGAACACGAAGATTCATATAATGTTGACAAGTATGGGGGATCCTGGGATATGTGTATATTTGTTTATGTCTCCCTGGGCCCGTTTACCCTCGTCCCTCCTCCCCCGTCACCTTCTTTCGTCCACAGGCGGCGGAAAGAGGGAAAGGAGGGGCAGTACGAGGTGCCCGGAGTGCAGTGCTGCGTGTACGGCACATATGATTTCGCAAGCACGCGTTCGCGAAGGAATGTCTGCGCGGCGCGTTGTACCTGTCGTACTTTGAATCCGTCCGTACGTTATCGAAATCAGAACGCCAAGATGTTGCAAGTCATACGTACACGTAGTCTTGCAAACGTAGTTCTGCAGTTCACCACAGAGTATGTTAGGCGACCTTTCTTAAGTTTGTTCTCGATGTCACGGTCCTGCATTCGGTCCAGGTGGGTGTTGTGTGGTTTGCAGTTTCTTGCCAGACTTACGATTTCGGGAACTATGAATTGCAGCTCGTACGCACTACGGTAGTAACCGCTCCGAAGTTGTTTCCTGTAAGAGTGGAGCAAAATGACCCTGGACAGGTAAGATGAAGTTTCTGGAGTGGCCGCATGAAGTCTGCGCTTCTATCGCAAGTTGCTGCAACAGCAGGCAGGCAGCTTTAACATGTCGCAGAAAATGCTCGGCGTCAGCTGGCTCTTCATTACAGATACGAACAAGACCTGGGATCACGATTGGGAGAGCCATGGGGCAATGTATGTTTCATGAGCCTTAGAGAGGAGATGAGTTGCTATACACACTCGTAAATACAGATATATGCATGGAAACGTGAACACACAACACGGTACATTGCGGAACAGGGCGTTTTTTTATTGCTGTATCAGTGCCTCTTTTCACGTTGCTAGTGCCTCTGGCTGCAGGTGGGGTCGAGAGTGGCTGCCCTGGGGGTGCGTGCGCCGCCCTGGTGGTGCATAGCACGCGTGCAGCGGGCATGGTGCTTCACGCCTGGGGCGAAGGCCTTGGCATCGCTCGGACGTGCGCATTTTTTCTCGGCGAGAACCCTCGAGGACCATCCTGCACGAAGGATTGCAAAAAAACCATGAACGAAGGATTGCAAAAAAAACAAGGATTGCAAAAAAAAACCCTCGGCGAGAATCCTCGAGGACCATCCTGGACCATCGAGCAAAACAACAAACACGCACGAAACCGACACATGCACGGGCAATGGACGTCCGAGCGACGGCAGGAGCTGGGGCCGGGGAGGGGCTGCCCACCCTCTGTGCCGGGCTGCGGCTCCGTGGCAGACGGCGAGGTCGCAGCGGGCCCTCCGCAGGCCGAGCCGCTCCTCCGCGCCGCGCTGCGGGCCATGGGGGGCGCCGAGCAGGCGGCGGTGCCGCCGCAGGCGCGGGCGGAGGCACGCGCACGGCCTGCCTCGGCACGAACGAGGTGGGCACGGAAAGCACGGGCACAGTGCCCAACAGCAGTTCCTGCTCATTTCGAACAGGACTCGCTGTCCGCGCCGCCGTGGCGGTGTCCGTTTGAGACAGAAGGCCGCCTGCCCAACACCGGCCGCTGTTGGTTTGGAGCAACATTTGTTCTTGGGCATTGAACCTTTTTTTTCCGTACCCATTTCGGGCGTCCAAATTGTTTGCCACGGGCAGCGGGAGGATCAGTGGCGGCGCTGGGCGGGTGTTCGAGGGAAGGCGGCGACGGCACCCCTGGGCCCCCAGGGGTCCTCTCCACGACCAAGGGGGAAAAGCATGGGCGCGTCGGCAGGGAGCTCGCTTGCCTGCGGGCAGCGCCTGGGTATGACTGCAGCGTGGCTGCCGCTCCTTCGTCGTGGTACAGGCGTATGCAGCTTGTCCCGAGGCGGGTGGAGGAGGACAGGCGACGATCTTTTGTCGGATATAGCCAGGACCCCAGGTAAGGGGACCCGGTTAGTGGTAGGGCCCGGGAGCCCCCAGACAGGCCAGAATCACTAAACCAGGTCTGCCGTAGCTGGTGTTTTTTCGGGTGACGGCAGTTCCGGTTAGTGGAACGGGCGGGGGGGGCGTCCCCCAGTACGCATCATTAAACCAGGTCCCACTAAGCCCAGTTCAGCCAACGCCCAATTCTGGGAAGTTCACCCACAGGCACAAACGTACTGAGGCATTGCGAAGGCAATGTCCGACTTTATCACAGGGTCCATCCAGGCTAGCAGACCCACGCCGCAGAGCAGTTCCGACTACCAGGATGTCAAGTTGACGCCCCACCTTGCTGGAGTCGAGAGGACGTCCGGCAAATCGGCCCGCACCGAGCGAAACCCGAAATTTGCCTGGTATTGGAGCCGTTTCCTCGGTACCGTGATCTCTTTCTGCCCATCCGTAGTCCTGGAAGCCTCACGTTCGATGGCAGCTTGCCAGCGCTTGGGCCAACCCCTTCTCACAACTTCCCACAACTCCATGTATATGTTTGCGCATGCTCCTCGTCACCTTATTCACTCATGATATCTCTCTCTCTCTCTCTCTCTCTCCCTCTTTCTGTCCCTCTCTCGCCCTCTCTCTCTATCTTTGTACAGACAGGTGTGTGTGTCTCTCTCTCTCTCTCTTTCTCTTTCTCTCTCTCTCTCTCTCTCTCTTTCTCAGTTTCTGTTTTGTTCTCTCTCTCTCTCTCTCTTCTTACACACATTTCTCGTTCTGGCTAGGTTTTTCACTGCTCCTCTTTACCCCAGAACAGATCATGCATGTTCTTTGTATCAGATCATTGTTTGTTGTCCTTGATGTCCTTTCCACACTGCGTGCGCATTCAATAGTGGAAAGGCATGTAGTGCGTGAGCCATCGCATCCCGGGTCAAGTCCCATTCACTAGTGTGCGGGCAGAGAATCACAGAGTTATAGTTATCCCCTTCCCTCGCCATTATTGTACTTTGGATTGATCGGTGCAGGTGTGGGCACATTTGGGCATTGCGCGCCAGTCTTTGGACGACGTCTCAGGGGCGCTTGGCTGTTGGGAGAGAGCAGTGCAGCATGCACGGATGGACGAGTGGAAGGGGAGGGGAGAGTATCATCTGCTTCATCATTACGAACATCATCATCATCATCATCATCATCATCATCATCATCATCATCATCAGCATCATCATCATCATCATCATCATCATCATCATCATCATCTTCATCATCATCATCATAATCATAATCTTAGTCCTAGTCACCATCACGAGCATCATCGTCATTACCACATAATGCTTATCGAAGTTGTCGATGGTTGTTACCGTCGTTTTGATGTTGACATGTTGGCAGTGCCATTGCGCGCGTATTGGTAACATTGGTGGGCATGACAGAATGTTCGAGATCTTTGCTGCCGATGGGATGTATACTCATGGGTTCAAGGATAACCGTTGCAGACACGCGGGCAACGTGGGGCACGTAAGCCGTTGTGCACGTGGGCATGGGACACGCAAACTATTGTGGAACAACCACCTAGTCAAGCTGCGTAAGGATCCCTCTACCCGATTCTTGTGTGGACCGAAAGTTCGGGCTGGGCTGCATAAGAGTTGTCAGGGGCTGCTGAAGGGAAGTCGAAGGGGAGCCCTGGGTGCCAAGGCTGTGGCATACCAAGGCTGTGGCAGAGAGCCCGAAAGGAAAAATAAAAAGGCTTCCAAGCAACACTCAGGAGGGCAAAGGAGGCGACGTAACTGTGAGACAGGGTTTAAATGGAAGACGTGGGAAATGCAAAGGGAGTGGAAGAGATATGGTAAGGAGCGCTGCAGGCAATTCCACGCTGCCCAGCGCCTTATTTCAGTGTGTGTTGTACTGAGTCGCCAATGAGCGCGACACTTTGGGAGCACGCCTTATTCTGGTCAGCGGGGCGCCCAGATTCACAGGAGTCGGCTGGTGATGACTCACAGGGTTTTGCTCAGTGCTCTCCTACTTTCCTTGCCTCCTCCTCCCTCCTCCCCTCTCCTGCCCGAGTCCGGGGCTACTGCAGGTTTTTGACATCATCTTTGCACTGCTGCAGGCTCTCTGGCACGAGGGTGATACGTTTTCCAGCGAAGTCGTATCTTGTGTTATCTGCACTGTCGTTTCCTGCGTCCGTTTCCAAACACTTGGTGAGGAAGAAAACGGCTTTCAAATGCAACCGGCATTCGCGTTACGACGGTGGTTCTTGAATATTGCGGTCCGCTCCCATCTTCTCCCTCAAAAACTTAATATAGAGGACCGTACACACAGGCCACAGGTACACGATGAGGTTGCGACCGAGGAAGAGGTCGGGGGCGGGAAGGGTCTCACGCATGGCCGCGTGGCCTGTGGCTTCCACATCGTCTTTTAAATGCCGTTTCGGAATTTCCATTGCACTTGATCTTAAAATATTAGGAGCACATCTGCGGATCGCCGTGTTTCACACGAGCCAGAAGAGTTGAACGGCGCGTACGCACGCGATTCGCGCATTGATTGATCACAGGGACGGTGCTAGCTTGCGGCTTGTGGAGTTCGTCTGGATGACAAGATTGATACGACTTGATAAAGTTAGGCCCAGGCTGGGCGTTCGATTTAACAAGTTCGTGCTTCTGTTCGTGATGTTTCGCGTCGTCGTCTTTCTCCCTCCTGCGGTACTCCGCATCCTCTTACATTGCGCCGTGTGGCAGCCAGGCCGTGGATGCGTACACCGCAGCTGTCGAGTTGGAGCCCCCGCTCCCGCCCCTATGCTCTCTGCAGCATCCCCTTCCGCTGAGTGTTCTTTCCCTATCCTCCACTCCTTCCCACACGCCCAATACCCTCCCCCCCAGATGTTTTTCTTTCCCGTCCCGCTGCTTCCTCGATCAATGGGGCTTACGCGAGTGCTGCGGTGCTCGATTCTGCTTCTGATGCAGGCAAGATGGTGCACTCACATGTGGCAGCAAAGAGGTTGAACGGTGGATCCAGTGACGTAGCTTTCAAGTCAGCTCCTAGACTTGGGTTGGCGATGTCCTTGGGGCCCTGGACCACCTGCCAGCGCGCTAATGCATAGCAATCTGCTTCAACAATCCCGTTATCGTCTTTGCTTCAGTCGACGGGGCCCCGTGCGTTGGGACGAGCCGGCCAGCTGGAGCCAAATCAGGATCAGGCTGTGAATCAGCCAGAGATCGGGGGAAGACGTCTCAGCCGGGGTCCGACGGAGGAGGAGCAGGATTTGACACTGGCCTCCCACAGTGCACCGCCTGCGCCTTCGACCCGCGGAGTCGATCCTTTCCACGCCCACCTCGCGCCACATTGCAGAGGGGTACGCGAGGTGGCCCCAGGGATTGCTCTCCTCAGTACCAGCTGCTTTCATTTTCCGGCACGGTGCAACACCGCTCTTGGCGTGGCATTCTTGCTGACCCTCACCAGTTTTCAGAGGGTCGACCCCTCCTTTCCGAGCCGTCGAGGCGAATCCGTCTCCAAAGTTCCCCAATTTGTGCTTGCATTGGAGGGGTCCTAGCAGAAGTTGAAAGATTTGGCGAAAGTTACCCGCCGATTTTGGTGGCAGGCTGGGTTCCCGGGTTCCCAGTTCCGGGTTCTTGGGTTCTCGGTTATTGGTTCCGGGCCGATTTCGGTAGGTTTCGGGATCCCAGGTTCCCGAGTTCTTGGTCGATCTCGTCAGCGGAAACCATCCATTGATTGGGGTTTTTCTCTGGTGCAACGGAGGGCGCGATGATTTGTTCCGCTTGTTTCCCATTCCGCTGCAGGACCCATCCCTGCACGTGTGCCTCGCGAACCTCGCCACGCTGCACGCCAGCCGCCTGGGGGGGCGGGGGCGAGGGCAGGTCTCCTTCCGACCCCTCTGACCCGATTCGGTTCGATGCAGGTGGCTGTCGATTCCGATCAGATGTAAGTCGGGCCTGTCCCTCTACAGCAGGCATATTCAAAAATAGGCAAAAATAGTATTGGGAGGACTGTGTTTTTTATTGTGTTTTGCCATTTGGGGGTATTTCTTTGACTATCTTAAAATTTGTCGTCCGAAATCCGCCTGTATGGGGGACATGCCCGAACTAAGATCAAATTTGATGTCAAATTGCGATTTGGATTCCGATGTCTCAACGGAGGCTTTTACTTGCCTGCCGATTTCCGCCGCTTAGAGTTCGCCCAACTTGGCTGCCGCTGTTTCCGCCGATCCGATTCATGTCGATCGCCGATCCGACTTACCGATTCAATGTTGGGCTCCCTTGCGAGAAAGCCGGGAGCAGGGCAGCAGCACGACCATCTCGGATTCAGAGACAACGGGCAGAGAGCAGACCCGCGGGGGGAAGGGCTAGGGACTACTGTTACATGTCGGGCTCACGTTGGGGCGGCCATTGCAAAGAGCAGTGGACATTGGCAGCCATGATCTGTGCGCCATCCTTTTGGAGGCGGATGAACGTTGAGGAGCTCTCTGCACATCATGGGAGCATTCCAGCACTTCCGTACGTGCTGACGCAATGAAGTAATTCTGCGGCCCACAGCGCCACACGTGCCACAGCCGAGGACGCGTGCGAATCTGCCGACAAGGGACCAGCGCGTTTTGATAGGGCAACTGGCCAGCTATTACCTTAGAGTGTTCATGTGGCCACATGGCCGATCGAACATGTGCTTTACCGCTCTGCACTCACGCTGCGTTCATCCTTATCTCAGAGAAGCCCTTCGCTCGCAGAATCGAAGGGCGAGGGTGCGACTGCAGATGCCCCTTATCACAACATGTCCGGTGCCGCTCGTCATATCCAGTGCCGACCCTATTGCCTGGGGAAGTCCATTCGGTTTGTCCAAAGCACTCAGCCGATCTGGGGGTCCGTCCAGGATGTTCTTGGCGCAGAATCCTGAGCTCGGGGGGGCTCAACTGCCGGCGCGTGGTCGATGCACCGCGGTGGACCCTCGGATCGCGCAGGGGCATTTGGGATTGCTGGTTGCAGCGGACGCGCGGCGAGAGACAGTGAGCGGAGGAGGGCAGGATGCGGAGGGGGGGCGCCAGAACCCAGCACGTCAGGGACTCACCGAGCGCGTTCCACTACTCGCAAGGTGCCTGCTCGCAAAAGGTCCTAAAAACAAACGCCTGCCTCGACGTGATGTATCGCAAATCCCCCGCGGCGGATCCATGCCATTTGCGAGTAGCTACTTTGCGATCAGCCGCGCGCAGAAGGGGGGTGGGGGGAGGGGGGGGGGGCTTCTCGGAGGCACCCCAGCCACTTGGAAGGCGCGGGCCTGATCTGTAGATGTGAGGCCGTGTCCTTCTAAGAAGCAGCCTCCTTCGGAGAAGCCCCTCCTCCCCCCCCCCCCCCCCTCTTTGTGCGCGCCGCCAAATCGCGCACGCCAGGGACGAGCAGGCGGTGAGCATCCGGGTCACCCCTCGGGGCGCGAAGAGCGCCGTGCCTCGCGCGTACCGCGGTCCGGGTCGGGCAGGCTCCGGTCGCGAGGGCGCGGAGGCTGATGGGCCGGCGTTCCACCACCACCACCACCACCATCAGTTGGAGGGGGAAGGGGCCTTCCTCCTCCTCACCCTCCACCTCCTCCTCCGCCTCCTCCTCCTCCACCTCCTCCCCCCCCAACTTATGGTGGTGGTGGTGGAAAACAGGCCCATCAAAGATGACCGCGCGCCGCGTATCGCGGGGCGCGATGGGCGAAGTCGGGTGACTTGGAGCCCGAACTCGGGCAGAGCGGCCCGAGAGGCGGGAGGGGGCAAGTCGGCGGCGGAAGGATGTCTCGCGGGGTTTGGCGGCGCGCCACGCCCGCGTTGATCTTGAGATTCCGAGCGCCGTTGTGAGCAGTCCGTGGCGCAGAGAGGCGCAGCGTCGAGCTTTCGAACCCCTGGCGCCGATGCTGGGATATGAGCACGTCGCTTATTCCCTACCTAGGCTCTGCCTAGAAGGGTTCTTACTTCGTAGCTTAAAGGGCCGGGCAGTGGAACCCGCCCCGGGCGGTTCCCCCAGTATCCGCCCCGCGGTTCCCCCGGTTGTGTCCCCTTAGTTTAGCGTTGCTTATCTCATCTTAGCTTAGCCTATTTCGTCTTAGCTTAGCTTAGCTTCATCTTAGCTCAGGTTTGTATTAGCTTAGGTTACCTTCATCTTAGCTTCGCCGAGCTTTAGCGTAGTAGAGCACAGCAGAGCACAGCATTGCATAGCATAGAGTAGCATAGCATAGCGCAGCACAGCATATCATAGCATAGTCCAACATAGCGTAGCATAGCGCAGCATAGCATAGCATAGCATAGCATAGCGCAGCACAGCACAGCACAGCATAGCATAGCGCAGCATAGCATAGCATAGTATAGCATAGCATAGCGCAGCATAGCATAGCATGGCATCGCATAGCATAGCATAGCAACTAATGCTGCTTTCCTAGGGGCTCCAACTTCTAGGTAGGGTCGCACTGGGGTAAGTATTCACACATTTCTCGATTAGGAGATCAACTGAGATCAACTACATGTTTGATGTCCTAATTGGTATCGAATAGTTATATGTAGGTATCGGTTTAGCGATCGCTCGAATTATACATACCCATGTATGTCTATATACGCATGTGTGTGCGTGCTGGTCTATCTACCCATACAACTATGTATATAAACATATGTATGTAAATGATTGTGCATGTCTATAGCTATGTCTACATATATAAAAAAAAAAGGTTATGTTGGCTCGCTGCGCGTCGCCTTCTAATGCACCTCCATGTGGTATTGACCCTGCGATTCGCATATCGATGTAGCCGCAGTGCTGCTACGACACATTCCCGAACCTGACGTTGGGGAGGCTAACCCGGCGCAGCCCCGATTGGCAACAGACCCGACGCGTTCCGTCCAAACCGAACGCCAGCTTCGGCACTCGCCCAGCACGAAGGGACGACAGCTGCGGTCGCCAGTTGTCTCGCTCCAGAGGTGGCGCTCGCAAAAGACGGATGTAGAGAGTGATGGGGGAGGGGGGGAAGAAAGGGGAAGAAAGGAGGAGGGGAAGGAGGATGTCGAGGAGGATGTGGAGAATGAAGAAGCAATTTGAACGGACACTGATAATCATATTTCGGTTCCAGAGGTCGCTGGAGAACAATATGAGGAGGAGGAGGAGGAGGAGGAGGGGGAGGAGTGAGGCGACGAGCAGGAGAAGCACGAGGAGAGTCAGGCGGGGGTGCGAGGTGCAGAGAAGGAGGAGGAGGAGGAGAAGGAGGAGGAGGAGGAAGGGGAGGAGGTGAAGGAAGAGGAGGAGGAGAACGAAGAGGAGGAGGAGGAGGAAGAGGAGGGGGGAGGAGGGGAGCAGGAGAAGTGGGCTGTGGGAAAGCTGAGAAGGAGTGCAAGCGACGATCCTACGGCCCCGTATGAAGGCAGGGTTCACGTAGCGTCCCCTGGGAGCTCCACTTTCGGGTCCAGTGTCAAAGTTCGCACGGCGTCGTTCCGCCCAGTTCGGCACACCCATCACGCGGATCGTGTCCCAGAGGGATGTAATTCACGTGCGGCCATAGTGGGAGGATTCGCATAACGTCGTGTCCCCGCGCATGTCGACTGTCTCCTCACACGGATCGTACCCCACAGGGAGTTGCACGACGGCCCCAGAGCCAAGGTTCACATCCCGCCGCCTCGCCCATGTCGGCACACCCCTGACCTGGATCGTGAGTCCAGGGCGTTTGTGGTGCCTCTCGGGGCCTGGCGGCGTTTGTTTGTGGGGCCTTTTGAAGTCCTGAGATGTATCGCGAATCGGGGGCCTCTTGAAGCCTTGGGAAACTTCCTGGGAGTCTTTTGGGAGCATTCTGGAAACTCTGGGGGCATCTTGGGCTTTCTTGGGGGTCCTTTGGGAGCTCTTTTGGGCTGGCTGTGGGCCCTCTCGTGGGCCGTCCTGGGTGGCTGGGGCCGCCTTGGAGCCCTCTTGGGGCCCTCTTCGGCCGTCCAGGGGGCCTCCCATGGCCCCTTGGAGCTCCCTTGGGGCCCCTGTGGCCCTGTGGGACCCTCTGGGGCCCCTCTTGACCGTCTTAGGGCTCTCTTGGGCAGTCTCGGAGCCCTCTCGGGCCGTCTTGGGACTCTCTTGGGGGCTTCTTGGGCCGCCTTGGGGCGATATCGGGGGCCTCTTGGGCCATCTTGGACGCTGTCAAAGCCGGAGAAGCGAATATGCTAATAATGCACGTTTCACGCAAGGAGTTTGATGACTGTTGCCTCTTGGGTGCCCTCTGGGGGGCCTCTTGGGCCGCTTTCAATCCTCTCTGGTCGTGAAGAAGCCGTCTTGGGCTATCGAAGCGCTCTCGCTCGGGTCGTCTTGAGGCCATTTCGGGCCTTTCTGAGGCCGTCTGGGAAGTATCCTTTGCCGTCTGGGGAACCCGATGTAAGCCCCGGGGCGCTCTCGTAGGGTTTCCTTGGGCCGTCTGAACGCATTCTGGATCTCTCTTGGGGGCCTCTTCGAATCAGGGGGGGCCGAAGGCGTATACCTCCCCAACCCGGCGGGGGGGGAACGGTGACATGCCAGATGTTTCCTTGTAACTTCGCTGGTGGAAGGAATATATATATATATATATATATATATACACATACATACATACATATATACATATATACACATGTGTGTATATCCATCGAGTATACAGCAAATACGTTGAATGTTCGTCTGTCTAAGAATTCAACCTATTTGTAGCTTCGGCTAATGTCTTTAATTGCTGTGTCAATCAATCCTGCAGTCGATCTCGCATCCAAATTTCGAGAGCGGCTGAATTCCCAGGGCCACTGCTTCGTTTGTTTATGCTCGTCCTGGTCCTGGCCGTTTGAGGTCACCGTGGGTCGAGTTGAGTGCTCCTTGCACGTGAGCAGATGTGTGGGGTTTCG